GAGTCACACTTCTTCCTGTGGCTCCAAACAAGTCAACTGCCACCAGTTGCTCCTAGCATGACCATGAGGGGAACCCACAGGCTTAGGATGAAGTTGAGCAGAAAGACAGAAAGTACCCAAAGGGCCTGAAGACCTCACTGGGCCTCAGACCATCCAACCCTGAAACCTCTGCCTTCCTGTTAGACTTTCCATTACGAAAGCTAATTCATATTTCATTATCATATTTCATTATTGAGGCCACTTTGTTTTTTTGTTGTGTTGTTTTTGTTTTTTTTTTTTTAAGAGAGAGTGAGAGAGGAGAGAGAGTGAGAGAGAATTTTTTTAATATTTAGTTCTCGGCGGACACAACATCTTTGTTGGTATGTGGTGCTGGGGATCGAACCCGGGCCGCACACATGCCAGGCGAGCGCGCTACAGCTTGAGCCACATCCCCAGCCCATTGAGGCCACTTTGAATCAAAGGATTTGTTAACTTGTAGCTAAAAATCTTGAGGCCAGGCCCAGTGACACAGGACTATAATCCCCAGTACTTGGGAGGCTGAGGCAGGAGGATCACAAGTTCAAGGCCAACCTGGGCAACTTAACAAGACCCTGTTTCACAAAAAGAAAAAGGGCTGGGGATGTAGCTTAGCGGTAAAGTGCCCTTGGATTCAATCCCCAATACTGTAAAAAAAAAAAAAAATCTCAGAATTCAGTATGGGAACAGAAAGTCTTTCGAAGAAATAAAAAGAAATGGGGGAAAAAAAGGTAATCAGTTTAAGAACGAGGTTTTGAAAGATTAAATTATCTCTTTACAGATGACACGATCTATATAGAAAATCCTAAAGACCCCACCAAGAAACTTAGAATTAATGAATGCTTTCAGTAAAATCCTAGGATGCAAAATCAACATACAAAAAACAGTTACATTTCTATATACTAAACAATAAACTATCTGAAAAAGTAAGAAAATACTCCCATTTCCAATAGAATCAAAAAGAATAAAATAGGAAAAAATTTAGCCAACAAGGTAAAATATCTGTACAATGAAAACTATAATACATTGACGGAAGACATTGTAGAAGACACAAATAAGTGGGAATAATAATAATAACCTGTGTACACGAATTGGAAGAATTAATATTGTTAAAAATGCCCTTACTATCCAGAGTAATCTAAGGTTCAGTGCTATCCTTATCAAAATTTCAATGATATTTTTTATAGAACAAAAGAAAAATCCTAAAATTAATATGAAGCCACAAAAGACCCCAAATAGCTAAAGCAATCTGGAGAAGGAAGAACAACGCTGGAGGCATCACACCTCCTGATTTCAAATTATATTACAAAGCTACAGTATTCAAAGAGTATGACACTTGTATAAAATATAAACATAGACCAACGGAACACAACAGAAAGTCACAGAATTGAAACCCCACACATACAGTCAACTGAGTTTCAATAAAGGCATCAGGAATACACAGTGAGGAAGGATAGAGTCTTCAATAAAGGGGAAAACTGGGTATTCACATGCAAGAAATGAAATTGGACCCTTAACTTACACCCCTTGCACTACACCCAGAAATCAGCTCAAAGGTGTTTAAAGGGTCTTTTAATGTTTTTGTTTGCTTTAATTAGTTATACATGACAGTAGAATGCATTTATGCATTTTGATATATCATACATAGATGGGATATAATTCCTTATTTTTCTGAGTGTAACTACAAATCTTCTAGAAGAAAACATAGGAGAAATGTTCCATACTATTCGTGTGATTTTTCAGATATGAGATCAAAAGCACAAGCAATGAGGAAAAAAATTGACAATGGGATCCATCAAACTAAGAAGCTTCTGCACAGCAAAAGAAATGCTCACCAAGAGGAAAAAGGCAACTTGAGGAATGAAGAAAATATTTGGAAGCCACATAACTCCTACAGCACTAAGCCCCAAAGTACATAAGAGACTCATGCAACTCTTTAGCAAGGGAAAAGTTAAGAGAGTAAAAAGAAAATGTTTAAAAATCATATATCTGATAAGAGCTTAATATACAGAAATATAAAAAACTCCTATAACTCAAAAAATAATTATAATATCAACGCAATTAAAATAGGCAAAGGATATGAATAGACATTTCTGCAAGGAAAGTATGCAAATGATCAGCAAGTATATAATAATGCTCAACACTATTAGTTATTAGGGAAATCAAAATCAAAATTTAATGAGATATCATTTCACATCTGTATGGCTAAAATTTTTTAAAATGGAAACAAAATAACACATGTCAACTTAATTTTAGATGCACAAAAATCCTTAATTTTTGTGAAGTCTAATTTAGCTACTTTTTCTTTGATTGTCTGTGCTTTTGGTATCATTTCCAAGACTTTCCCCAAATGTCCTCTTCTATGAGTTCTGTATTTTGGCTCTTAAGCTTAGGTCTTTGAGTTAGTTTTCATGGTAAGGATCCAATTTTATTATTTTTTTAATGTAACTATCCAGTTTTACCAGCACCATTTGTTGAAAAGACTCTTCTATCTCCCATTAAATGGTCTCAGTATCCCTGTTGAAAACGGACCAATTATATATATATATATAGGAATTTAGTTCTGAGCCGGCATGGTGGACACACACTTATCATCCTAGCAGCTTGGGAGGCTGAGGCAGGAGGATCAAGAGTTCAAAGTCAGCCTCAGCAACAGCCAGGCCCTAAGCAATTCACTGAGACCATGTCTCCAATAAAATACAAAATAGGGCTGGAGATGTGGCTCAATGGTTGAGTGCCCCTGAGTTCAATTCCCTTTATCCTACCCCACAAAGAGTTTAGTTCTGACTCTCTATTCCATGTCTTTGGTCCATATGTTAGTCTTTATGCCAGTACCATAGTGTTTTAATTACTGTAGACTTATTAACAAAGTCAGGAAGTGTGAGACTCCAATTTCATTCTTTGTCAAGTTTATTTTGGCTATTCAGGAACCTTTGTAATTCCATATGAATTTGAGAATCAGCTTTTCCATTTCTGTGAAAAAGGCTATTGAAATTTTGATAGGGATTATATTGCATCTGTTCATCACTTTGGATAGTATTGACATCTTAACAATTTTAATTCTCCTATCCATGAATATGGGTTATCTTTTCATTTTTAGACCTTCTTTAATTTCTTTCAGCAATGTTTCTCAGTTTTGAGCATACGAGTCCTCCACAATATGACCTAGCAATTCTACTCCTTGGTGTATATCCACAAGAAGTGAAAACAGAGTCTCAAATGGATATCACATACCCATATTTATAGTAGCACTCAGTGGCAAATACAATGGCACACTATTCAGCTGTAAAAGGGAATAACATTTTGACATGTACTATGACATGGATAGATTTTGAAAACATTAGCCCAAATGAAATAAGCCAGACATAAGACAAAAGTGTAATTCCACTGACATGAGTTATTGTGAACAGCAGACTCACAGAAACCGAAAGACAGGCAGAGGTTTCCAGAGGACCACAGCAGGAGAGGGGGAACGCTGTTGTTTGTTCATTGGGTAGAGAATTTATATTGGGAATGATGAAAATAGTTTTGGAAATAGAGTGATTATGGTCACACCACTTGGGGAAAGTATTTTATGTCCCTGATGATAATATAAGGGTAAAAATATCATACTGATGGAAAAATGATATTGTGTCTGTTTCATCACAATTAATAATGATAATAATAATGGGAGGGTACTCATTATTTGAACTCGTGGCTTCAGATCAATTATTCCAACTAGGTCATCACGTGGCGCTCTCTGGAGAGCCAATACAGAACGAAAGACTGGGCACAACCCAACACAAAAGTCATTGGAGCAGGGACAAAGTCTGGGCTTAGTGAGAGCCAGAGCTCGCAGCCAATGAGTCACAAACACCAGAACCTTCCCGGAGGCACAACTGAGCTTCTTACTAGAAGAAGTGGTGGCCCAGATGCTGGGCCAGGCCTCAAGCCAGCCTTACCGGGCCTCCCTCCATTTGGCCACGCCCGGGCGCCTGAGTGCAGTGACACTTGGGTCTGAGACTCAACGATTTAACCGAAAACTAAACCAGGAAAGGACTGAGGGTGACCAGGCAATCGCCGGCCCTGGTTCCTGGCTCTTCCACTGGGGGAGGGAGTCCTGGCCGCGGGTCCCTTTCCCGACGACGGAGGATCCGGCCGGTGCAATCCGGGGGCGGGACTCGGGCGGGCGCCGGTGCCACCCCAGGGCGGGGAGCCTCCGGGGCTGCCCGGCTCCGACCCCGCGGTCCCGGCTGCAGCCTCCTCCCCGCCCAGCCTGGGGCCGGGACCCGCCGCCGAAGCCCCGCGTCGCACCGAACCTGCCGCAGGCTCCTCCCCGCAGCCGGTACACTGCCCCCACCCCGAGCCCTCGGAGCCCAGGAAATGCAGCGCGCAAATCGGCCGCTTGGGTACACTCGTCCCTTGGAGCCCAAGACCCCAGCAAAACAGCGACTGCAGGAGGGAGGGGCTGCGCCCGGCCCCCTTCCGCCCAAAGACAGAGCCTCCAAAAGGAGTTCACTAGCATCAGGGAAGATTAACTCGCCCCCAGGGGAGACAAGAAGTCAACACACAGTCCGATGAGCTTTGTCACAGATTGTCATCCCTTTGGATAGTATTGTCACAAATTGTCTCCTCTCGCCGGTCTGAGATGGTCTCTTTCTTTCCTATTCGCAGGTAATAAATTTGCTCACTTCATTGTTGAACCCAGAGGGGCTTTACCACTGAGCTACCCACCCCTTTTTATTTTTGACCTAGGGCCTAATAAATTGCCCAGGCTGGCCTCGAACTTGTGATCCTCTTACCTCATCCTCGCGAGTCACTGGGATTACAGGCGTGCACCACGGCACCCAGCTAAATTTATGTCCCTTTTAAAGCTGCTGTTCACCTGCCAGCTGCGCGTTTATTTCATAGACTCGGTAATGCAACCCTCAGAGGGTGGAGGGAGTCTGCCCTCCCCTCCACCCGCGGCTGCCCCCACACCCTCCCAGCACTTCCCCAGGAGCAACCTGATGTCCGGGGATCCTCCTGGAACCCGACCCAGCCTTCCGCCTGGCGACAGTTCTCATCAGCAGGAGCACGCAGAGCAGAATGAAAGTAAGAACGTCGTCGTGGTGGAATTTTTTTTATTATTGTTGTTCTAATGTTAGTAAGTGAAACCTTAGTTGAAATTTGCATTGTACCATATGGTTCTCTCCCCGCAGAATTTCAGTACCCCTTTTCTTTCTCCGAATCGCCAGAAAGTGTACAGTACCCTCTGGTGGCAGGAACTTGTTATGGCACAGTCCCCTTTAGAAGTAAGGTTGAATAGGCCTTACCTGAAATATTTGGAACCAGAAGTGTTTCCGTTCTGATTTTTTTTAAGATTTTAGAATATTTGTGTGTGCCTAATGAGATATCTCGGGGAAGGAACCCAAGCCTAAACATTAAATTCATTTATGTTCTATTTGTAGTTTGTACACCTGGCCTGAAGTTAATTTTACACAGTATTTTTCAGTGTTTATTTTGATGGGACAGTGGCTTGAGGTTAGAGTGACGCTTTAAATTTGAGGCCTCATTTCAACTTCTCAAAAGTCTCGAATTTTGGAGCATTTGGGGTTTTGGATTTTCAGATTTGGGACACTCCACCTGTGTCTAGTAATACCTCCTCTTGTAATGCATCCTGCTGCCCATCCTGGGAAAACAGAATTCCTTTCTCCAACCTCTAACAAAACACTGCAAAATCAAGGTTATAAGTGCCATTATTTCCTCCTAACTAAGGGTGGAATAGCATCAGGAATAGGTGTGTGCGATGAGCTCCATACTGGGCAGTTCCTGTGCCCACACTTGGGTATGTAGTCTAGACAGAGAGAGTTCAGACTCTGAGGAAGCCCATATTTTTAATGGGAAAATGAGCTTTCCATTTCCCTGGGTCTCTGAGACCTGCCTTACATTTAGGAATGCCCAAGGCCATGTATCCCTGCCCACTTGGATTCTCCCCCTGGACTGCAACGCCCTGAAGTGAGCCTCCCCCACAGAGCACCTCAGCTTCCCCACCACAGGGCAGGATCCAGGAGAGGCTGAAACTGCAGAGCAGTGAGGGGCACCTGGGGCCCCTTGGCCCACTTCCATGAGAGCCCACAGCTGCTGGCCCACAGCTTACCCAGTGGATTCTCACTGCGCCAGGGTCTTTTCCCAGGGCTTCTTAGTGGAGGATGGACTAGAGGGAAAGCCAGAAGTTACGGGGGAAGTGGACAGTCATCTTCTAAATGGAGAAGTGGGTTTTTGAAAGTGAATGTTGTCAGGGGACAGAACGCCTCCCCGCCTGCAGCAGCCCAACAAATCAATGAAGAGTGTCTGACTTTGCCCTGGAGGCAACGGGTGCTGCGAAGGTTTTTCTATGAAATGCGCCGTTTGCATCAGATGCAAAGACTTTGTGCACTCAGGAGGGGTGCCACATACGGAACGAGGGGTGTCTTCTCAGACTGATGGCCATAACTAACAGGGCGTAGGGCTCTGGCCCCAGGAAATCACGTCTGACTAGAGCATGGCCAGGTCTAGCCAAGCACCTGGATGGAGACCAGCAAGTGCCTGGAGGTGCTCTGGTTTCTCCTGCCACGTGAAGAGGACAGCGGCCCGCGTAAACAAGGGAACTTCATGCCACAATCCTCCAAAATTGAAATCCCAAGTAACAAACAACAACAAAAAAAAAAATCTTAGCATTTTTCTCCCCAGCATGAACACCAGGACTTTTACAAATTCCACATATTTTACTGGAAAAATGTTTACTGTGATGATCTCAGAGTTTGTTATCAGTGCTACATTTGGCCTTTTTGAAGAATGTTAGCTATGGACCACAGTGTTCTACTTCCATCCCCTGTGAAACATCACAAGGTCTGTCTTCCCAACCTGTGTGTCCTGAGACCCTTTCTGCTCAGCTGCCCCAAAGCAATTCACGAAGGTGAACAAGTTGTATTCCTGCTATACTCTTCAAAAAATGCAGCTGGGGATGTAGCTCACAGAGCACTTGCCTAGATCACTCTAAGGTCGATCCCTAGCACTGCCAAAAAAAGAAAAAAAAGAAACAACCTTCAGGAAAATATCAAATGAATTTATTTCCATGTTTTTATTTAATTTATTAATGAGGAAACTAGGAAGATACTACAACTGGCTGGAAGGAGAAATTGAATGACTGATATTTGCATTGTCATTCAAGTCAAGGAAGGCTGAAGAGAATTTTCTAATATAAGCAAAACTGGCTAATCCCCTACTACACAATAAACCGTCTGAAGTCATTTTTACTTCCAGACAGTAATCAATGGCATCTGTCACACTAATCGATTTTTTCTATTTCAATTCACTTGCATTGTTAAAGTCAAGAATCATTTACAAAGTTTTCAAACAAGAATCTTTATATTATCATCAGTTTTCTGCAAGCTAACCTGTATCTCTTAGAAAATACCCTGGGAGGGATGAGTCAATAAAATAGAAAGCATGCACTGAAGGAATACCTGGTAAGATTATTAGGTATTCTCTCAATTTTTCTGACAATGTATAAAATAAAATGTATAAATTTGATATGTTAAGAAACTAGGAGCCAGGTGCAGTGGTACACACCTGTAATCCCAGCAACTTGGGAGGGTGGGGAAGGAGAATTGCAAGTTCAAGGCCAGCCTCAGCAATTTAGCAAGACCCTAAAAGCAGCTTAGTGAGACACTGTCTCAAAATAAAAAATAAGAAAAGGCTGAGGACTCAGCTTAGTGGCAAAGTGCCCTTGGTGCGACCTCTAGTACCAAAAAAGAAAAACACCAGGGCAGGATGGTCTCCATTCTTCTCCTTTCTGGAATTGTGATTGATGTCAGTGCCAAACTCGTTTATCAATTCCAAGCCCACAGCTTGTTTTCCCCATAACACAGGTGCTTGCTCAGGTGTGTTTATGCTAGTGATGGGGCCAACTGAAGTCCCGGTTAGCCAAGCTAACATCCTAGAGAGTAGAACATAATTGTAGCACAGAAAAGTGCCTGGGTTGGCCCTTCTACAGACACACCAGCATGACCCTCAAGCAAACTTTTTCTATATGATATTAGATAGTAAATAGTTTAGACGTTGTAGGCCATAAAGTCTCTGTGGCAACAACTTGACTCTGCCATTGTAGCATAAAGCAACCTCAGCACCTAAGCCAATGGGTGTGACTGCGTCCCAATAAAACTTTATTTACAAAACAGGCAGTGGCTGGATGGGCTGGATGCAGCCCATGGGCCACGGTTTGTCAAACCCTGATTAGAGAATACAGAAGTCATTGATTCACTCAACAAGTATCAGCTGCTTTCCAAAGACAGCCATCTCCAGACAGACTTGTCCTTGCCCTCATCAAGTTGCTGATGAGGCAAAGAAGGCAGTTTAAACAAGAAATTTTGGCAAAGTATATTGGCAGAGATGGCAGGGTAAACAACCCTAGTTCAATGGGGGGAAAAATGACAGTCAAGTTGGAACATAAATATTTATTACAGTGCTGAGCTTGAGGTCTCTACCACATAGCTAAGCAGAGATGTAATTCAGATAAGCATTGTTAAGTTCAGAGCTCAGAAAGCCAGTCTGGGCTGCACTCAGATTTGGTGAGTAGGCTGAAGCCTTAGGAGTAGGTGGCATTGCACAGGAGAGTGGGCGTGGCAAGAAGGGCAGCGGGAGTGTCCACACCAGGCCTCTCCAGCCTGAGAGTGCCCCTCAGCCACCTGGAGGGCTTCTGAAAACACACTGCTGGGCCCCGGGGTGTGTTTCCATCAAACTCCCCAAAAAAGAAACTTCTAGAATTACAGTCAGGTTTGGGGGGAAAGGACTTTTATTTACAAGAAAGATATTGCTGTACCCAACAAAAAAAAAAAAATTGGAAAAATTTTTAAAAAGTACAAAGTGCTGACACTTTGGTCATGGAATCAAGAAATAAGCCCAGACTACAAAAGAAAAAAGAAATCATGTCATCATCAACATCACTGCTATAGATCCAAAGTCCATTTCACTAATGTTAGATTTCATGGACTATCTAACACAGAGAAATAATACCTTTCATGAGGCAGGAGAGCGCTTGGACTTCTGTGAAACATTTCTTAAAAATGTTTAAAAGTTCTTAAAAATGCTTAAAAAGCAACCTCAATGGATGTTGATAGATGAAAAGAAGTTGCTATGGCGAAAAGGATACTGAAGTGGAAATCCTCCATCCTTGGGGCAGCTCTAGCCCTTGACTTAAGTTGAATGTGACTTTTGTCACTATTGCTGCAGCCAAGAAAATTATTTAGTTACAACAGGCCCTAGAAGAGACAAATCCCAAAATATTAGTGAAAAGTTAGAAGAAAAGGTTTTGGAGTCAGGCAGCCATGGGTTTCATTTTTAGACCTGTTATTTACTTCAAGTGACCTGGGGTATATTACTTTATGAGTTTATTTCCTCATGTGAGAATGATAATAGGTTCTGAGATATAGGTTTAAAATTTTTCCAAAATAAAAAGGACGAATGCCTGTGGTGAGTGCTTAATAGTTTATAAGTTTTTTGTTATTATTTCTATTTTCATTGTTGTTTGAAGAAGTGAGCAGTTGGAGTGCTTAATTAGTTCATAAAGTTGTCAGGGGACTTTAATATCTTACTCTGGAGTAAAGTGATAAAACATAAAACTTAACCTTACAGAAGAAGCTTAAAAGAATGACCCAGGAAGTTTAATGGCTTTTATAGTTTTGTGTAATGAGTCATCACAAAAAAAGGAGCACACTTCCAAATCCCTTTCCACCACAGTCCGAGTAAACAACAGGACAGGAAAATGCAAAGGCAGCTAGCAGAGAATACTAAAGAGAAGCAGAGAACCATGCAAACAGAAAAAAAATCATTTCCATATTTATAAATAACTGGCAACAGGTCTTTTTGCAGAAAGTACTGGAGCAGAAACTTCTCCACCACAGTTGAAAAGGGTTTTGAATTAACATGGAATGGCTGCAGGTACGGGGTCCTAGTCATCTTTCATCACTATAATGAAATTCCTGACACAGGCTAATTACAAAATAAAGGAGATTCATTTGGCTCACAGTGTGGAGATTCAAAGTCCAAGATAGGACGGAACCATTGATGTGGCCTCTGGTGAGGGTGGTAGTTGATGGCACATCATGGCAGAAGCATGTATAGTAACAGTCACATTTCAAAAAGGAGACCAGAGAGGACTAGAGGACTATGTTTGCTCCTCT